GGACCCCGACCTGGAGGGTTCACTTTGACTCTTAGGACCATCGTATATGGCATAAAACATGAAGCCTTCTGTTATTTTACCATAGGCCCCAGGGAGGAACTTAGATATTTGCATGTAGGCAATGCCACGAGGCTTCTATATGGAATTAATTGATAAGGTAAATGTGGTTAAGGGAATTTCCGGGCCCTCCTGCTCTGAGTACAAACAACCTGTTAAGTTACATAAGACCTAATTAATTCGGTAACTAAGTTTTTTACATATCAAAAATATTGATTAATCTAACCTATTCACAAAAAATTTTCTCGTCCCAAAAAACTCTTAACAATAACCAAATCATATAACTGTTTAGCATGTAGGGCATCTCCATTGTTGGGGTCTTAACATAAACCCACCGTTATTATGCAAAATTCAATTTTATTAGTTTACATCAGCCTCTTGGAGCCCCAACCTAACATGTTATATAGGATAAAAATTAATTATGCTCTTGTTGTAAAACAATAAAGGCACGAAACTATCATTAGAATGGACCGTTTAACACAGACCACGGGAATTTCTTCTTATCCATAGGTTAGTAGGGGGCAATGTTCAAACTAAATAGGAGAAAAATAGAACCCCTACACGAAAAAGCATTATAACGGCAAACATTGGAAATTATGTCTGCAAGGGCCTCCGTCTTTTTGATTTGATAACCTGGTTTCAAGAAAACCTGGTACTATATATGTCTCAAGAACTGGGTTCCAGTATGGACACAACTCATTGATTATCATTACAGCGATAGCCACTTGGGTACAATTTTTGGATACATATTTGGATATTTTGTAAGTAAAAGAAAGGCATAATTATGCCAAACCAACTATCAGAGTAATGAAACTTGGCTCGTGATGTTGCTTTGATGCTATGGGATATTTGGTGTAAAGTCTGGCATTATTGTCAGGATATGAATGTTTTTGTCTGTAACTATTGAGCATTTTCAACCAGACAGGCGTGTTTAATTCACTCGTACCCATTTTTCAATTCAACACATTTATCTCGAAACATTTACATAAGATATTTCATTGTTGCCATAAATACTACATATATTATAAACATTTTTAGCAGATATAGAGCTTTTATATAAACCCGTATGTCAGCAATTTGAGCGTTTACCAGCAATTACTCGTGTAATGTATTTTAACGTTAATAAAAATTCTTGATTGATTGACTGCACACATAATTTTGATTTTGAAGCATAGCAAACACAGAATCATGAGCTAAATTAATAAAAACATACTTCATAATGTATACATATTGATCTAACCTCGTACAATTATGTCTTCAAATGAAATTTTTTTTGATGTCTGCTAAAAGTAGAATTTTCGGCAAATTATAAATAAATAGCCCAACCATGCATATGAATGAAGGTTTATGAAACTTCTCTTTGTTATGTGACTCACTGCAAAGTTAAAAATTCTAATTGAACTACGGTAGGGAGAAAGAAAAAATAGGTTTCGTTTTTAATGTAAACAGATATGTCTTAAGTAAGTATACATCAATTTCTTTTGATAGCGTTATTGTGTTTTGAACATATTGTGAGATTCATAATTATTATAATGTATCTCCATCATCCATACCAAAATTTAATAAAATTCTAAAGGAAATTATTGCTCAGTATAACATGGCAAACTATATTATTTGATAAAGCTGGTTGCAAAAGTACTAGATTTATTATAAATTGTTCAAGAAACAAAGTCTATCTGAAATCGATCAAAATAAAGAATCAAGAGGGTAACGTTCTTGTTTATACAAAAATGAGAAGTATATGAAAAACAAACATGACAGTGTCTGGTTCCGATAAAACTTTTATTTTCTTATTTTATACAAAGATATAATAGGAAACACATTAATAGAAGACAAAAAAAAATAAAACAAGATATGTTTGTAAAACATGTATGCCCCCTATCGGCAGCCAATTAGTCATGTGATCAGGTTATTTTTGCAATGACTTCTTTACCCGGTGAACAAACAAAAATTAAAAAAGGGGATTAGTATCTACTGGTCATACTACTCCAAAGGTAAAAATTTTGTGACCCCCCTAATTTGTGTTGGAGCAAATTAAGTTATTACAAATCTTGATAAAATTTTGAATCAGTAGGCCCCCCTTAATGACAGCCCAAATTTTTTTTTATTACATTTTAAGACCTTCAAATGGTTTTTACCAAAAAACATTTTTAGTTTTTTTTAAAAATTCAACCAAGGCATCTCGGCTGTTTGGGGTATTTTTTCAAAAACCCCAAATACAAGGGCAAATACATTGACCCCCGACCCCCAAAACAAAGGGTTCTTACTGGTTGACCAATCATCAAAAACCCAAATTTGAAGTTCCTCCTTACCCTTCCTTTTTGTTGTTTAAGGAAAACCCTTTTTTACCTACAAGGTCAATGTGACCCTTGACCTTTGACCCCTTGACCCAAAATAAAAAATAGGGGTCTATCTGCTGGTCATGGGACCAATAGTCAAAAACCAATGTGAAAGTTCAAAGCCTACAGCGTATTTTATGTTATTGATCGGAAACCGTTTTTTTTACCTACAAGGTCAAAATGTGACCTTAACCTTTGACGCCCTTAACACGCCAAAAACCCAATAGGGGTCATCTGCTGGTCCATGACTACTCACCATACAAAGTTTGAATTTCCTAGGCTAAGGGTTCTTTATTTATTTGATGCGGAAACCGTTTTTACCTACAAGGGTCAATTGAACCTTTGTCCTTTGACCCTTGACCCACCAATCAATAGGGGTATCTGGCCTGGTGCATGCCAATCACCATACCCAAGTTTTTGAAGTTTCCTATGGGAGCTAAGCGTTCTTTAGTTATTGTCGGAAACCGTTTTTACCGCTACAAGGTCAATGTGATTGACCTTTTGACCCCTTAACCCAAAAATCAGTAGGGGTCATCTGTTGGTCATGACTACTCACAATACCAAGTTTGAATTTCCTAGGCCTAAGCGTTCTTTAGTTATCACTCGGAAACCATTTTGACCGACGGACCGACAAATGCAAAGTAATATACCCCCTCTTCTTTGAAGTGGGGGTATAATAAATAAAAATCAATAAACACAACAATACCTGAATACTCGTCTATTATTGAGATGTTTTGAACATTTGGAACCTTTGACATTATCACATAAAGTAATATAGTCATAACACAGTTGGAAACATCAAACACACACACGCTTTGGAATTATCATTCTTGAAAAGAAAAGCCGCAAAGAAGGACAAATCAAGAGTGCAATTCAAACTAAATACCATATATGAATGTCGCAGGCCGAGTTTTGTTTACTCGCTTAAGAAAATGTTGATGCTGCACATGAAAGACGCCGCCAAATGACGTTAACAGTCACAGGTAATTACTATTATAGGATTTCACTATTACAGTTGAATTAGGAGCGTATGTTCTCTCTTTGATCAATTGAAACTTTTGAGAAAGAACTTCTGATTTCTAAACATACTTTTTAATGAGAATTCAACATGTCTAACATATGTTGGGGCGGATGATTATGTGTCAAATAAAAATATTTCTTGCATAAAAACTACGTACGCAGGTATACATTTACGAAGAAGGAAACATGCATTATCAGAGAGATTCTCGTGATCACGCACCATATTTGCATGTTTTTCTTAATGCGTGACACCGGGAGTTAAATGTAAAAATAGCATCATGAAATGGCGGCTTCCGTAGTTTTTATTAACATTACAGTAACAAGAGCCATGTCAACATGGCCATCCCCCGCCGAATGTGTTTGCTCATTGGAAGAATGTATATGTAGTAGAGCGGAATAATTCCATTTTAAGAGGTCTTTTGGTAATGAAAACTGATGGCTATAATGATTACAGATTTGAAACGCTATATGTGATACTGATGGCTGAAATAACAAAGGACAATTACTGAAAATAATGCAGGGTAGGTTATATTCTTGTGTGCTGCATCCCTCCTAAGTAATCTATTCACCTATGAAGTTTCAAGTTGATACTCAAATTACTTTTTTGAGAAAAAAATTGAATATTGACAAAATTAAGTATGAAAAAGGAAGCAAAGGGCAATAACTCACCAATTATAAAAGGTAGAGTTATCATTCTTGTGCAGTGCAACACGTCCGTGAGTGGGATCAAATGCAGCTTGGAAGTTTCAATTTTGATATCTCAAAGGCTTTTTGAGTTATGCTCTGGACAAAAAATTTAATTTTGAAATAACAAAGGGCAATACTCAAAAACGAATGGCCAGGGTAGAGTTATCATTCTTATAGCAACTGCCACTCCTCCTCAATGAGATCGCATGACCACCTTTGAAGTTTCAAGTTGATACTCAAATACTTTTTGTAAGATAAGCCCCCCCCCCATCCCCTTTTGGAACCCCAAAATAAAAAAAAAATAAAAAAAAAACAAAGGGGGGCCAAAATAACTCAAAAAAAAAAAAATTTGGTATAGGGAAGAGTTATCATTCTTGCACCAACATATCTTCTCAATAGATCTTATCCACCTATGGACATTTCATGTTGATATCTCAAACACTTTTTGAGTTTTATGCTCTCACTCAGGTGAAAAATTAGGTATGAAAATAACAAAGGGAATAATCAAAAATTAAGTTGAAGGTAGAGTTATCATTCTGTGCATGCACACCTCCTGAGTGAGATATATTGCACCTATGAAGTTTCATGATAATATCTCATAAGCTTTTGGAAGTTATTGCTCTGGACAAAAATCAATTTTGAAAAATAACAAAGGGCAATAATTCAAAAATCATGCAAGGTAGAGTTATCATTCTTGTGCACTGCACTCCTCCTCAATGAGTCTATCCACCTATGAAGTTTCAAGTTGATACCTCAAATACTTTTAGAGATATGCTCCGGACAAAAATGTCGGACGGAAGGACGGACGGACGGACGGACGGAAGGTCGGACGGACGGTCGGACGGACGGAGACTATTTCTATATCCTCCGCCGAAATTTTTCGGCGGGGGATAAAAAAAACCACAAAAAATGTCGCACTTGCACGCGGAAAGCATGATAAAAGCAATAATATTTAAAACACTATACAAAAAAATGAAACTACATAAACAATAAACCCTCGCCTTTTTAACTCAAGCTGTGAAGTTGTCCTCGTGCTTCTGCATAAGTTTATAGAACAGGTGCATTAAACACATTATAACTCATTCATATTCACTACACACAACAACAAAACAAAAAGGTTAAACTTAAACTTCTGGCAAATGCACGGACCAATATAATCTATTTTCTTAAAATCAAATATTCAAGTTTGATTTTAGAGACTTTATTATCACTAAATAAAGACATTATCAAGTTTCTGTCCTTTAAATATACATAGAATTGCATTATACTACTTAAACGTGTCCTCGGTCTGCTTAATACTGGCATGGAGACAAATATGTTTACTTGCAGTGTTAGCCGTTCTTAGGCCGCGTTTTCTAGCAACAAGACAAACGGACGATTTGCAACTTAGCGGACGTCCAAGAGTTACTACGTCTGGTCAAAGCCGATGTATTATAATAACACATACACAAAAGTTTTCACCGCCACTGCGACCAAACCCCGGGTACACATAACAAACGAGTATATCCCCAACCTGCACGTAATCGCCTGCGCGAGGTCGGTCTATATTTTCAAATAGGTAGAGTATTACCGCGACATCATCGTGTAAATTGTGTTTATTTGACACATTAACACACCGCTGGATTAGGCAATGTCAACGAAAGAGCGTTATTTTTATGTTATGGTTATCATACACCGTTGTGATCGATAGGAATGTGAATGCCCAATCTTATTGGGATGAGATACTTGTGAGACACGTCATTCCACCGTTTCAAAAATAGTGTCAAAATCACTCAGTGTTAACAGGATAATATCACAAGACATACCGCACGATATACTTTGAATTTCTTTAGATCGAGTAATAGTGCATTCATTATAAAGATTGGCCAGCACAATGTTTGAACATATCTGAATCCCATCAAGCACCTGTGGAATACTTTTGATCTGCGTGTTGAACGTTGAAATATTTCAACGTCGAACATCAACACAATATCCAGGAGTGGACATGTCAGCACCTATCGGTTCGATACGCAAACGATGTCAGGCAATACTGTACCACATTTAAGTAACAATTTCATTAGGTTTCCTTGAACAAATGAACAAAGTGCGAAAACATTTTACACACAAATTAACACAGAAATATTTTTGGAATACAAGTAGAAATAAGTTTACGGTTGTTTCGATATTTACGTATATCTGCACTCAAACACTTAAAATCTGTTCTTGTTCAATACATATTCGTAACCAATTAAAATGGTAAAAGATGTCTTAGCACTTGCAGATTCTCCGGCCTTGAAACATATTTTGTATTTAAAATTCCATGTTTTCAGACGGAAACGCCTTCAATTCTAAGGTTTGTCTTAGTTTTTGCCCAAGTCTTTCCAAAATATTTTGTATAGGTGTAACAATGCACGTCTTATCTGACATTACTCCAATCGCCATCCCTATGCAAAACAGTTTGTTAGTTTTGTCAACTGAGAACACAGCAGATCCAGAGTCCCCTTTCTCGAAAAAGATTTTCCTTGCAAACGAGTCTATCTGAAGCTGTTGAATCATTAAACGACTCTGCATGCGACTGCCACATTGTATATGCCCCGTTTCATCTCTTAATCTCACGGCCATGTTTCGTATCTGAATAGCACCCTTAGTTAAACCAGTTTGTTTACCAAATTTTATAACTCTGTCGTGGGCGTAGTCTTGTCCACGAAATCGTCTTGCGTCTCTATCACAACCGTCGTCGTAAGATGGAAAACAACTCGCAGCAAAACCTTCAAGTAAAAGTAGAATTCTAAGACTTCAAAAAAAACCCCTCCGAACTGTAGAACAGTTATAAAGAAAGGACTGCCATATCTCACATTACAAAGAACTCATGATGTTTGAAGCTGATAATTCTTAAATGTTGTGAAATAAAAGAAATAACTCAAAATAATAAAGCTCAGAATTGTCAATCTTATTAATTTCAATTCCGGTGATCTATTCTCTCATGTAGTATAAAATTATACCTTTAAAAATTTTTAAGTTATGGTCTAGACCAAGTATTCAAAGTTTGATGTGATTGACTTTGATAGTCTTTTTGAGGATTTTACCATAACAAAAAAATATTTTGATAGACAAGAAGTGTTTCAAGTTTTAATTGAATAACTCTGGTAGTTTCTAAGAAAAGTAGAGTTAAAAATGAAGCGTAGACTTGTCATTAATCTAAGAAGATCTATCCATCTATGTTGTTAAGAATCGTTTTGAGGTATAGTGGATGGTTATTACATTAACATTATTCTTGACAGAGTCTTACAGAATGGGAATCTGATTATGTTATTGTATTAGTTTATGAATATGGAAAACGTATATAATGTTTAAAATAGTTCCAACAGTCATACTAGTAGTCACTTCTTATATTATTATAATTATATTTGTATTCCTTTGTAAATTTATAAATGTCTCAATGTTATTAACTGTTATAATGGTAAACTTATAACAAATGAATTTTTCTCAAAATATAAAATAGTCTTATTTGTGAATTAAGTGGTTGATTTTTTTCACAAATTATTATATCAGTTTAATTATCTCAAGAAAAAGCACATATTTGGACAGTAAAGCTGTCAATGTTTCTAGTTCATATCTATTTTATTAAGCTTTAATTTTATTCATAAACTCAGAAACAGTGATTGTTGATCCATATTTATGAAATTGATCGGAAATAGTTTTCGAAGCCAGGGTAATTGTGAACTTGACTTCCATGCATCAGCACCAACAACAATTGGTGTCTTTTACTTGATAAGTTTGAATCCTCCTTCCAAATTTAAAAACCTTTTTTAGCCCTTTTTGGGGTTTGGCAAAAGTGTTCTTTGCTATTGAGCGGAGGTGTCCAAGCATTCAATTGTCATTACCTCTAAACGCAATGCGAAGCACCCCCCCCCCAAAAAAAAAACCACAGATGTTTAAAGCATATATGACGATTGAAGGCTGTCGTCCAAATGGTTCTCTGGGTATTGAGCAGAGTGGTTTTCTTACATTCTTGATAATAGTGACCATGACCTTTACAAATCAGATCCCTTAAAAATAGGAGTCTTCTCTGTGAGGGCGATCGGGAAGTTTGAAGTCCATGGGTCAAAGTCTTCTATAGCTTACTGACTGACAGACAGACTGACCGACCGATAAACATTTGCAAAACAATAAACCACCTTTTCTTTGAAAGGGACATACAATAGCAAAAATACATGAACAATAACACAGATTTATAAGTAAAAAGTTATAGCCCTTTTTATAATATGATAATGCACTTATCCAGAATGAGCTATCTATGTCCATCTTTGAAGTTTCAAGCTAAGATCTCAAATATTTTTCAAGTTATTTTTCGGAAAATTTCTCTTTTTTATGAAAAATACCAAAGGCAAAAACTGAAAACATGAAGTGTAGAGTTATAATTCTTGTTCAGTGCACATCTCCTTAATCAGATATGATCATCTAAAGAGTTGGAATAAATATTGCAAGATTGTGGTACGCTAAGATGGACGGAGAATATATATCTTTGTCCCATCTTTTGCGGGCAAAATGTAAGGTGTTAATCCATTATATACTGTAAAGTTACAAACAAGAATACTTTTTAAAATTTGTGAAAACATATTTGCATATCTTGAAAATGGCATATCCCGCGAGAGCAAATACTAAAAGATCAAGTAAGATATGTTATGTAACATTCTCTGAATTCATTTATTTCGAGTACTGGATACACATTCTTATTACTTTGCAGCATGCAGTTTCTAATATTGTTGTTTATTAAGTTGCCAAATTCAAATCACATGCCTCTCATCGCTTTAGGTTCGAATCCTGTCAATGACTTTGGATTCTTTCACGTGGTGAAGTCACCCAGCTAGCTCACGGGAGGTCGACAGTCCTGTTTAGGACATAATTAGTACACAACGTAGCATTTGAATTCTTCCTCAACCAATAAAGCTGGAATTTCACCGGATGACCTTAACACTGTCGGTGTAAATTAAATTCAATAAACAAACACATTGTCGGTATTTTTAATCAGTTATGGAGTAAAAAATATTGCATACCCATATTGTTAAAAATAGTATTACCTGTGTCATCTAAATCGCCCGGTTGTATACCAACAAAATACCCTCTACTCGGAGCACGAGGCGGATATATTTCAACAAGTGCGGCATCTATATTGTTACTTAATTCCGCAACTTTTACGGTTCCACATCGACGATTATTCCATTGCCCTTGGGCACTCCAACCAAAGTCACTATCCGCTGGCTGTACTACATTTAATCCTAAAAGTCGCCTATCAGGTAAATCTAGCGGTTGAAATAGATGCCGAACTGTAAGAAAGCATAGCTCATTTGTTTCCTTTATGTTGACAAAAGGTCCAAGAGAAGCACTGATTCCATCATTTTCTGGTCCAATGCTGCAACCCATTGCAAGTTCTTTATTCCATTCACAAGGCCTTCTAGTTAAGGAAGAAGACAACTTGAAATAACCTTCCCTTACATCAGTATGGTAGAATGTTTTAGATGACGGATGTTGTAGTTTACTCGGAAAGTAAGGCTCATCTATTGGAATATAAGATTTGCAACGGCAGACAAGAACAATACCAGGCTCTTGAACAACATTATCTTTGGACGATCGAACTAAACCCAGTTTGATAGCTTCTAAGTTTTTGTGTTTTATCATCAATGATTCCGCATGAAAAGCGATTGTTTCGTCTATCTTTTTAAAACTTTTTGCATCATATTTATACGTTTCATTAATGTAGCTTTCTGATTCTGTCGATGTTGGATAAAACGGTTTCTCTATCGTGGAGAAACCCATAAACTTTGGTGGAATATGACGACATTTTTTGGTCGTTAGGCAAAGCAATATAGGGTCTTTTGCATTATAAGGCGTAGTGGTCGCATAAACGGAGGCAATATTGATACATAAACTTACTAGTTTATTATACACCAGATAAAGCTTTTTCAGCAAAGTCGGGACGTCTTTTATCCTCGTCCCTGAAACAAATATATTTTAATTAACTCTAACTAATATCCTTTATAATTCCATTAAACCTAGGACAATGGCTCAAAATGACATGGATCAACATAGTTTTGTTTCTGTCTTTATTGTATATCGTATGAGGTTTCTTTACATTTTACAACCCGCAGATGTTTTCATACGGCGGTAGTCAAGAACCAGTCAATGTGGCACGGTGTGCAATTCCTTGCAACGCGACGCATGGTCCCCAAAGAGAGAAATTTGAGTGCGCTTAACGACAAAATGATGTAATTAAACAAATATTTCTTAAATGTTATGATGCCTGTATATATCATTTTCAGACACCAAACATTTAAATCTAAATACAAACAACGTATCCTAGCGTTGATAAATATAAGTACATGAATTCGAGTAGGAATGCTAGAACGGACCAAAAGGAAAATATGTAATATCTTAGGTATGCTCATATCTGAACACATAATAAAATAACTAGATGATCGTTCTGCTTAAATTTTGATCAAAAATAGTCTGTATTATGGTCGTTTAACCCTGACATTTTTAGTAAGGATAATTTTCTGTGAATTCCGTATTTCTCAGCCTTTTATTGTAATGGGATATTTGATATTAGTATAGCAAACTAGTCAAATCGGCCCCAAGTCAGATCGGCCCCAAGTCGAAATGGCCCCAAAATTAGTTAAATCGGCCACAAAATGAGTCAAATCGGCCACACAACAATTTTAAAAAGTCAAATCGGCCCAAAACTAGTCAAATGGGCCTCAAAACAAGTCAAATCGGCCCAAAAGTTATTTTTGTGAAACGTCCTATTTTGGTTAAACTGAAAATTGCAAGGTTATTTACTGAAAATTGCGCTTTAACATAAAAGTACCAATTAAAAATAATTCATTATAAAAATTGAAACAGTTTTGATGCTAGTGATAATTGTTATTAATGTAATTATGCAGGTGTGCTATGGTTGTTAATTGATTTCTACATTTAATTACAATACATGTCTTTAATCAATTCAGTCATTGTCTCTAATTTAATACCATGCATTGAATTCGGCGATTTTAACAACCATTTTTGTGTGAAGTGAATTTAAGGAAGGTATGTAGGTTGTGCATTGATTATTATCTTTTTAATAACTTTTTAAAATTAATAAATTGTAAAGTGTTGGTTATTGAAAATGATAATTGTATAGACTGTAGAAGTGTTTTGCGGAAACGACAGAAGGCACTGCAGCAGTCACTTGTGATGCTTGTTACAGATGGCAACATAGGAAGTGTAATGCCGGTAAGTGTCTTTCTAATTCACGAAACTTATCAGGGTAAATTATTTGCCATAGAAAAAAAATACATTTTTATTTCTAAATTCAATTTTTTTAAAAGAGTAGTTTTTAATTTAAATTATAGTTTATTCATTTGGGGCCGATTTGACTATTTTGGGGCCGATTCGACTTGCGGCGGATCTGACTTGGGGCCGATTTGACTGTAAATCGTAATAAATAGAAAGGGAAATTAGCTAAAATAAATAAGATTTTCATTTGTTATCCAGTTTTTCCAAACGAAGATTGCACTTTTGTAAGTGATATCAGCTGGCAGATCTAAACTAGTTTTCATATTTGGTTATATTATAAACTGGGGAAGGTAAAGTGACTGTAACGATTGGATGACTTTATCATTAGGCCATAACTCAGCAAAAAATCATTCAACCCGAAATAACATGCGCAAGTACTTGAGTTACCGATCAATCTTGTAAAGTTTCAATGAAATTGCTTCAGTGGTATAAAAGGAGTAGTCTAGACAAACTTTAAAAATAGAATTCATAAAAGGGCCATAACTCTTACAAAAATCATTAAAGTTTCATTGAAATTGCATTAGTGGTAATCATAAGAGTTGTCCGGATAAAAATCATTAAAGGGCCATAACTTGGAGGTTTTGTGTTTACTGTAATAAATAAATATACCTGTTCTTTTCATACGTCCTTTTTGTTTATTGCTAGCTTTTAGCCGCGTCTTCGTTGTGTGTTTCGAGCCTAACTTCAGTTTATCTCTTTTTTCAACTTCGCAGATATCATCACTCTCCCATTCGTCATCATCACTCTCCCGTACATATTTTCCTGACCATGAAAAGATAAATTATACATTACAATTTCCAAATAACATTATTACATAATTCTTAAAAAAATCCTTTAAAACACCACTGTCTCTTCATTTCGTCTATAATATCTGAGTGCCTATTGTTGTGCATATGATACTATTATTTTAATTTAAGGAGAATTTGACCAGCTTACATTACTTCTTCAGTTAATTAATGTGTTAAAACACAGACAGACGAATGATACAGTGAACACGCAATTATTCAGGATTTGCAATAAATACAAAAAGTCCCCTACCGTTAAGACCCCCACAAGAAGTATGTCAGCAACATTCTGAACAGCCATGGTCATTCAATTGTGCCATTGTATTGTGGAAGACATTGATGACATTTTGAGCTCTTAGTTTGTCTATGTTGACGGCAAGAGCAAACATTTAAACCTCACTGGCGAAATGTAACATTCTTAAAAGCACAGTTTTTAAACAATTTTGTAACAAATTCCAAGATCAAATTGAAACTCATTCGTTATACTTATAAATCCAATCACTTATAACTTGGGTGTTGATCATATATATGCATTTAGAATTTGAAGTAAATCCATGAAGAAATAAGAAAGGTAAAGAAGAAGTAAGGAAACTTTAAAGTTAAAGGGGGAGATAATTCTGGAAATACGGACCCTAGATTTAAACTAGAACTGTGTCCAAAGGACACGGATGCCCCCACTGACAACATATATATGGTATATAGTGAAAAAATCAACAAAGGGCCATAATTCTGTTAAATTTGGTCGCAGCAAAAATTCCTTCTTTTACTACCATCTAAGCATTAAGGTTGTTCATCCCTGGAAGTTTAAGCAAAATCTGCCATCCGGCTTAAGAGGAGTTGCGTTCACAAAATTTCTACATAATATATTTTGAAAAAAATCAACAAAGGGCCATAATTCTGTTAAATTTGGTCGCAGCGGAAATTCCTCTCTTTACTGCCATCTACAAATTAAGGTTGTTCATCCCTGGGAGTTTAAGCAAAATCTGCCATCCGGTTTAAGAGGAGTTGCGTTCACAAGATTTCGGGACGTACGGACGGACGGACGTTCTTACCAGAGCTACATTATGGTGTTTTCTTTTGTTATTTCTTTTGTTCTTTTTAACCCCACAATGCAGAAAATAACCCCACAAGAGAAACGGAATGAATGAGATCAAAGACATCTATTGTTATGAAAACAATAGACCAAACCCCATAATGTAGCTCTGGTTTGTTAGAACAGACGTACGGACGGACAAGTGCAACGCTATATGCTCCCACTTGTCATATTATTATGTTATGGTGTTTGGAGTTTATTCCTATAAAAATGAAAAAGTTAGAGTTAAAAAAAAAAGATTTTTAGAATAAATCTTAATATTGTCATTACAGCTCTTAGTTCAAAGAGATAATTCTGATAATTTTGGCGCTAAAGTAATGTACCTTGTGTTATTGATGATCAAAAACATATATTTGAAGTTTGAAGGAAATACCTTTTGAAATAAAGAAGTTGTAGTAAACAAGAACATGTTTGTTAAACGCCCCCGTACAGAACTTGTCAGTATTAAATTTTCAAAAAAAAGGTTGACCCGTTTACCAATTAATGGTCAAAACAATTGTAAAAATTATAAACGTAGTTATATAACTTGTCAGAGGCATTACGTTTTTATTGTGAAAAATAAAAGTTGGCATGTTATTGCTGTGTGATGAAGTTGAACAATAATTAACTTATAAAAACATTTATCAAATTATATAAATGTAAGACATTGATCTTAAACCTAGTGAAATATGAGGCATTGATAAAAAAGTACAAAACCTGTATATGAAAAAGATTAAAATTTCTGTTGTTAGCACAAGTGACCTTCACATTGCAACTCCAGACACAGGACCATTCAAGTTATGTTCATTCTAAATCTGAAAAATATCAGTCTTGAAATAACAACTATATAAGAAAATGGTCTAGACCCACCGACGACTAACTTGACCCACTGACGACTAACTCAATCCAAAGTAAGAAGACCATGCAAGATATCTTCCTACGAAAAAAATACATCTTTCACCAATTAAGTCTATATGGGCAAAAATCTATTATTAGCACTTGTAACCATGACACATCTGAACCCTTACGCAATCTAAATGAAGAAAACCATGCAAGTTATCATCCTACCAAATATGTAAAACGTCAGTCAGATAAGGATCTTCAATCTCTAACTGCGACCTTGATCTTAAATTCGTCAATGCATGACAGACGGACAGATGGAGGGTGTAATTTTAATATGACGCCATATGGAAGCATAAAAAATCAGAAATAAAGACGCAATCGCCGACACTTGGTGAGTTGGACAGCTCTCAATATACTTCATATAGTCGAGCTTAAAATGACGTGCTCCGTGCTCAAAATATTTTCAGTATCTTGTGAGTTATCACAAATATTGCAATTTTGTAATATTTTAAGTCTTTTTGTTGTATTAAAATAAGATATTTCTAAATGATGTTAAATTGCACAAATTGCATAAATGATTGTTAAAATATACAAGTCATAAAATAAATATCTAAATTCAATCTAATTAAAAACTTCTCGAGGTCTTTCAAACAACCAAACATTGGCGAGCTTTCATTGAAAGAGATGCAGCTTGGAAAACCAATAATGTGTAGGTAATTTTCATGACTTCGAGAACAAACAATGGCGTTGTCGCTATAGCCGGCAGGTAAACTCCCAAAACAGTCTTGCCCATAAAAAATAAAGTCTATATTTATTAATAAATAAATACATTATTTCCAGTTGATGTTTTTTTTTCTAATAAAAATCAACAATTTGTTTAACTTCCACGGATAACGGTCTTTTGATACTTCTTCTAATGTCTTTCTGTTAATACCGGTTTGATTGCATGGCTAAATAAAGCTTGCTCGGGTTATCCAAATTATAAAGAGTGCAAATCATATACGGTGGTGGCAATCAAATCTACATGGAAGAAATAAGTAGATCTGAACTTAAGTCAGATTGTTTTCAAATTTATCCCTTAGATAAAAGGTATCATCTAACAGCAAATTTAGAAGAGGTTAAAATAAATCTCTAAAAATATAATTGTAACCAGTTCGTGGTTTTGGTCTTTTCATTTATTTTAACTTTTTTGCATTTTATTTTCACAGAGTTGTCTATAATCTCCCTTTCATTGTAAATTTGAATGATTAGTCAAGCATTTGATTTCCCGCTGTTTTTGAACCAATTGTTGTGGTCATGAGAAATAGTGCTCACTCTTGCACAAGTCTTGTTACTGAGCAGTTAAAAGTGTACTAGCTTTGCTAACCTTTACTTTATTAATTTTAACTAGTTTGGTGTTTTTGGAAATTAAAAGGTTAAGTTAATAGAGCACAGTAAGAATCAGAGAGTGACAGAGGTGTATTATATATAGAGGACCTGATCCAAAATTTGGTTTGAATATGTATATATATAATCAACAATTGGACTTTGTTGTATTGAACCCTAAATCGACTGTTGGCTTGGGCCAGTGTGGTTGGCCAATATTATCTTCATATATGGGCTGGAGTCCACCTGTTCACAGATGACAACCGACGGGGGTTGAAGTTGGTTGGTCTTATTTATTACTATTGATTCATCTTTTTGAGTCACAAATGAGCAATACTTTATTTGTATTAATTTAGCATTTGTGTAAACATGTATATTGGACATTGTACATTGTAATCAAGATAGCAGATTATATTTCTAATAATTTGGTAATTGGTACAATCACTATTTCCTATCTTATATTATCACCTGGTCACAGATGGCGCCCAACGGATAATACAGCACTGGACCACTTTAATGTCTGGCACGGGGAGGAGGTATGTTACATATGGAACCGACGGAACTTCAGACAACAGACTAATGGAATGAATATGGACTTTGTGTTTTGAGAAATGTATTTTATAGACAGTGAGTGGTCAAGCAGCCTATTTTTTACATATGTATTTGTGAGTATCTAATATTTTGTGAAAAGTTGTATTAATGCACCTATATTTATTTTTGACTAGATCTACTTAAATAACAAATTTATTTTTTTTATATTTTTCCTTTTGGCTATTTATCTTTTTATGTAATTGTTTAGTTAAGTAAATTTTGTTTACATAGCTGCAGATTTGAACTTTTGAGTGTGCTATTGTAAATTGACTGAGAGGAAATCACTATGCATGCAATAATTAATACTAGATCCCTGCAAATCCTGGTTTAGGTCATATACTTCACTAAATGTCTTTACCTTAACTTGAGCAACTATATCTCATACTATTTATACATTAGCCACTATCTTGATTACATGTAAAATTTAAGTCTGGTGTAAAATTCTGTTTGTTTACCTCATTGCTCAGGTGTGACCCAAAACATTTGATCAGTGGTGACCTACTTTCAGTTTGAGAATTTTCCCTTTATTAAATTGTGTTCATAACGTTAATGTCTCCTTAGTTATTTAATTTTGTACAATTATCAGGTGATACATATCATTTTCAGCAGTTGGCATCCGTTGTCTATGTAAACAGTCCTCGTTTTTCTTTTTGTGTAATCGGTGACCTTATATTGTTTACTACACATTATTTTCTATATTGGGAAATCCCCTTAACTGGCATATGCAAATTAAGAGCACCTGCTGAATTTCCATTGGTCGATTTTGAAGGTGTGTCTATGTTGACTCTTTTGATTGGATAACACATCGAAATGACATAGACATGTTCAGTTGACCTTGACTGTAAAAGAACATGGTTCTTGTTTTTTGACAGGTATTGAGAATTGCAATTTAATTGAAGTTTGGTGTTAAGTAAGACTTAAGGAGTATATGTAGGTACTTAGTGATAGAAGATAAGCACATTTATACATAAATAAATATATTGTAAAGCATCAGTGCATTTAATTTAAAATTTTGTATCAATTATAAAATTATTTCAAAATAAAGGTTTTAAAGTACAAATATTAGTGTCTGATAGAAATGAAAATGACTTAAATGACATTTTCTGTTCTGCCAGATAATAAACAATATCAAACTTAATACATTTAACATAAATATTTAAAATAATTTAATTTAAAATTCTTAGTTATCAATTTTAAAATCTAAAAGAAATGAAAATGACATGATTAACATTTTCTGTTTTCTTAGATATTTGATATTCGGTATTTCACGGCAACTTTAGTAACATACTAATATTGTGTATTAGTATTTCTCCCAGTTTACTATAATTGAACATAATACTTTTGCATCTTGTTTATAAAACTATTAATTATTACTTAGAATTAGATAAATAAAATAGATATTCAATTTAAATTAATTTAATAGTTGATATACACTGTATAATTAATAAATAAATTAGTTGAAATAAATTTAAACTTGATTATCATTTATGAAGATTATAGTTGTAATTCCGTGATAAAATAATTAATAATTCAGTGAATTATTTT